TCAGATTGCCTAGATTCAAAGCCAAGATCTGCAACTTCCCAGTTACTTAACTTCCATGAGGCTCAGTTTCCCCATTTGTAAAATGGGAAGTAAGAATCCCTGCCATAGAGGGTTGCTGTGAGGATCGAATGACTGATTATGTAGAGTCTTCTTAGCCTAGTGCCTGGCACATAGGAAGTGCTAAACAAATGTCAGCCACTATTGCTTATTATGATGATTACTGTTTGAAAATGGAAGGACTGAATGCCTCTCAGTTAAATAAGCACTGGATTTGGTTTTACCGGTTTAGTAAATCCTCACCCCCTCCTCTCTAGAAGAGCTGAGATTGGGTTCAAATCTGGCCTCGGGGTAGAACAAACTTGCTATCCCAAAACAGAATGAACCTGCCCACATGTTAGAGAACACCCTCACTGTGGCAACCCACACAGGGCCCAGGTTCCAGCAGAGGGCGTGAGTCTAGGCTGCACACAGCTCAGGCAAGCGCCAAGCTGCCCTTAGCAGCAGTGAGAACAAGCATGAGAACCACCCAGAGGGGACTGCCCAGCCCCCACCCCAGAGGCTAGAGCCGTTGTCCCCACAGTCTGATGAGCTCCTCTCTAGGAACAGACCTGAGTGTGTGACTCCAGCCTCTCTGCAGTATCGGGCAGCTTCCTGGGTGCCATCCCTGTGGTATAAGGAGACCTGGGCTCCAAACTTGGGCCCTGTCATTGTCAACCAGCTGTGTGGCCTGGGGCAAGTCACCCACCCTCTCTGGACCTCAATGACAGGATTCAAGTGATCTTTAAATCCCCTCCCAGTTCTCACATGTGGTTTTAGCAAAGTATCTGGCACATAGCAGGTGCTCAATAAATTATAAAATTCAAGACACAACTCTGCTAGGTTCCAACACCCAGCTACTTTCTCCACACTTGATCTTAGCCAAGAAGCTGAGAAGCGATCATCTGGCTACTTTCTCATCTTCAGTTCTGAGTGACCTGTGTGATCCAACTCCCAACAGGACCCAACCCAGGGGAAGAGCTCAATAAATCAGGATTTATTGATATAATTAATTGATTACTATTGGCCTGGCTTTCAGTCTAAACTGTTCCCCTGCCCAAGGCTGCAAGTGCCCTGAAGATTTCAGACTAGAGGCGCTGAAGTGTCTGCCTCCCCAGTATACTACAAGTTCCAAGAAGACAGGGTCCATCCTGCCCGCCATGTCAGGTCTGGCTCAGGCAGCCGAGCATCCCCTCACAGGTCCTGGAGCACAGAACTGACCCCCCATCATCATGGGGCAGAGAAAGCATCACAGAGCCTCATGCTGGGCAAGTCCTTTTATTGAAAAAAATAAAAATAAAAAGCCATGGCACTGCCTATGCCCGGCTCTCCCGTGGGAGATGCACAGGTCAGACGCAATGCCCAGCCCACAGTGGCCCTGGGTGGGCATAGGCTGTGGCCAGGTGCTGTGGCGGAGCCCAATGAACTGCAGCTCTCCAGGGCGATCCTTGGCCCAGGACTCGCTTGGGCCCAGGGCTTCCAGAGGCTGCAAGGATTGGGCTAACCCTCTCCGCCCTCTGGGTAGGCCCTTGCTTCCCACTTGCTCCTCCCATGTCCACTAGAAAAGCAGGCCCCTCTTAGGTTCCAGAAAGCTACCTGCAGTGGCTGGTCTTCACATCCACTTCTAGCACCTCCTGCCAACTGAGGCAGGCAGCCCCCTTCATTCCATCTTCAGGACACCAGGCCCAGGGGCAGCTCCCATCCCACCTGCTCCTCTGGGCCTTGGAAGCCGGGCATCATTGGCTGGACATCTCCTTTCCTTTCAAGAAAGGAGTCTGCCTTTCCCCTGCAGGCTGCTGGCACCTTTGAAGGTCCACAGAAGCCTCACCTTGCTGGCACCTTTGAAGGTCCACAGAAGCCTCACCTACAATACCTGAAAGAGCCCAGCCCTTGGGCAGGCTGAACACACAGTGTCTGTAGCCCCATTGTCTTGTCATGGGGAACTGAGAGGGGACACCGAAGGCCACCGAAGGTTGGCTCTGCTCTCCTAGAACCCCAGCTTCTCTTTCACTAGAATGTACCCAGTAGAGTCAGCAGGTGGGGGAGAGGGCAGAAAGAAAAGCCAAGCTGGTAGCCCTAGGGAAGGGGCAAGGGGCTTTGGGACATTTATTTACAGGGGCCCAGGCTGGACCCACGCAGGGAAGAAGTCACAGACCATCAGGTAATGAAGACAGCAGAATGCAGAGAAGCAGTCATTGGCCTAGCAGCCAAGGGGAACACACAGGCACTCACACACACATGCATTCACACGTGCACTCACCTGCACACACATACACATGAACACGCATACACGCATGTTCATGCACACGTGTTCATGCACATGCATGCACTCACACATATAAGTGCACACTTGTGTACACACATGCACATATACTCATATACACACAGGTGTGCTTACAGATGCACCCACATTCATACCTTTGTGCACTGGTGCACACGCAGGCGCTCACACACAGGCATGCTAACACACGCAGACACACATGTATGCACGCTGCACTTACACACATGTGCACTCACATATACATTCGCACGTGTATACACACAGGTTCTAATCTCAGGAAACTGGTCCAGTTCAGGAGGTTCAAGCCGCGAATAACTACATCTCTCCACGAAGTTTCTCCAGACCCCCATATAACCTCCCAGAGCCCCAGGCTGTGTGCCCCACAGCCAGCACCTGGCAGCCTGCAAAGTCTCAGAGTTGGATGCTTCTGGGCAAGGCCGAGTTGGGCTCCCAGCTCTGGCTGCAGGACAGGAAAGCCCTAGGTCTAGAAGAGGTCAGGAGTGGCCTAACAGCTCCCGGCCACAGCACCCATCTCCCCACACCTTGAAATTTGGTGGAGGCAGGATCATAGACAGGCCGGGCCCTGCAGGGCCATGAGAAAGAGCAGACACTGGGAGAGAGCCACGGGACACAGGGCCCAAGGGAGAGAGACCTGGTGGACATGGATTTTTGGATGAGGGGTCATGCAGCATGGGAATCCTCTATGTGGCAGACCTGCGCCCCCCTCGCGGGTTTGGGAGAGGAGCTGTGGAAGAGAGGGGCCACCTAGGTTGTGTTCTCCCCACCCCGGCCTTCCCTAGCAAGAAAGATCTGTCTCTGTGTCTCAGACCACCCCCATCAGGAAGGGAAAGCCCCCAGTTCAGGAAATGGACTGATCCAGCGGGGGGTGAGGGACGGGGACATAGGTTGATGGCCCACAGGAAACAGGAGCCCCATCACCCTCCCTCCCACCCCAGGCAGCAGGGTGGGCCCAGAGAATGATGACTCAGAAGCGGGTGCTCTGGTAGCGCAGCCGCCGCAGGTCTGCAAGGCCCTCATTCCGGCCATACACCTCCCTACAGGGACTTTCGGCCAGTCACCGGGACCCGGCCCCACCACCCCCACCACTGCTGCTGCCACTGCCACTGCTGCTGCCACTGCTGGAGCTGCCGCTGCTGCACCGGTCCTCATAGATGGAGATCTCAATCTGCACAGTGGTTAAGGAGAGCTGCGAGCCCAGCTGCTGAGCAGGGGTCGGACGTGAACCAGTGGATGGAGGCCGCCAGCGGAGTGGGAATGTGGGCTTGTGCTGCTGCCTAGACAGTAGGGCTGTGGAGGGCTGGAAGCTAGACCCCTCTCCAAGCCCATCCACGCACATTACTTAGCTAACAATTAGGGAGACTTGTAAGGCCAGCCCCTGTGCTAGACACACAGCCGTGATCACAGCAGGCAGGGTCACTGTCCTGATGGAGCTTACATTCCCGTGGGTTTAATGACCATATCTCAGGACACAGATGTGCCCAGGGAGGTGGTGTTACTGCACAGGAAGTATGAGAACTTCAGTGTCCTGAGTTCAAATCCTGACTCAGGCACTCAAACCTACATGACCTTACACCAGTCACTTAACTTGTTAGCCATCAATTATTGCATCTGCAAAATAGGGATTAGGAATAGAATCTTGGGGTTAGTGTGAAGAGGAGATGAGACGTATGTAAAGCACTTAGCACAAAACCTGGCACATAGTAAAGGCTCATTAAAAACAAGTGCCTCTCACTGGGCTTTGTCAACATGTGACTCTGGGTGTCTGTGGTTGTTTGACTCTGTTTCTCCTCAGTTTTCCAGTAAACTTTATTTTTTAGCAATTCTACTCCTGTTGCTGCTGCCTGGGGAGAGGGATGTGTGCACACCCAGGTCACACTGTTCCAGGTGGAGGTGGAGTCCACAGAACCGAGCCCCACACCTGTCCAGCCTCCCACCAGGACTGAGACCTTGGGGGAGTCACCTCATCCTAGACCTCATGTCTCTCATCTGCGAAAGCAGGACAATGGGACCTGCAAGGGTAAATTCCATGAGTATTCCATGACACTGTGGACCTGTAAATTAATGTGGTGATTTGCATATTCCTGGCGGGGTCTTTGTGGTTAAGGATGAGCCTGGGCACAATTCCTGGCTCCCACATTCACCAGCTGCATGACTCTGAGCAGGTTGCTTGGAATAATCAGAGCAACCCACCCAGTAAGATTATGAGAAATACATGAATTCATATTTTCAAAGCACTTCACATGGTGTCTGGCATATTCTAAACACCGATTACATGAAGCCCACCAAGTGCAAAATCTGAAACTCAAAAGCCTCCAATAACTTACAGTGGCGGAGGAAGGCTAAGGACCATTGCTATGGGGGGGCTCCCGGGAAAACCTTGAATGGAGGCCCTGTTTCCTGGCAGCCTCACCAGGATCTCTACTGGTTGGCAGTCCTGTGCCCTCACACAGAACAGCCCAGAAGGATACAACCCTCATCCCACGCTCCACAGGGTCTGTGAGTAGGAGGCCTCGAGGCGCAAAGATCTTCTCATTTTGCTCCTGGATATAGCGGGAAATCTTCTTGAGAACCTGCAAAAAGAGGAGCTGGACAAGGATGAGCAGCCCTGAGGGAGGGGACACATGGTGGGGCGGGGGGGTGGGGGCACCTTCTCGTAATGGGTCTCCATGCAGAGAAAGATGAAGTAGGCTGTGGCGCAGGCTAGGCAGCCCTCAAGGTAGGAGCTGCCCCCAATCTTCTCAGCCTCTGCGTAAAAGCCATTGAGGGTCTTCACGGTCTCCTCAAAGAGCTGCCGCTCAATCTAGAGAAGGGGACAGAGCCAGGTTATGGTTAGTCTCCCTGGAGTGCGCACAGTCACAGGTGGGGTCAGGGGTGACAATGGTGGGGCCATGTAGATGGGGGAGATGACACTGGCACACAGGCAAGACCAGAGAGGCTGCAGACAGAGCAGAAAGAGCACTGGCCTGGGAGTCAGGAGACTAGGGGGCCAGTCCAGACTTGGCCATCAGCTGGCTGCGTGACCTGGAACTAACAGCTTAACCGTCTAGGCCTCAGTTTCCTCATCTATAAAATGGGAATAAGAATGGCTGCTTGTCCTCCCTTGGAAACAGGAAACTCCCATGATATCCTAGATGTTTTCTGCGGGAAATCAGACAAGTATCCTAGTGACTGACATGTCCCATCTTGCTGGTCATGAGAGAACTGGGGACTAAATTCATAGGAGCTCTCCATGTTTGAATGGGACTGCATGAGACTGCTTCAGTGAGACCTCAGGGGCTTCCTGGGCATCTCTCCGGGAAGGAGCATTTCCTTCTAGCTCAGAGGTCACCCACAACACCACAGGCCTGTGTGTTTGGACACCTAAGAAGATGTTCTGCCTGCATCCATAATAGAAATAGCTAATATGTAGTAAGCACTTTCTATGTGCCAGGAAATGCATTCTTTCATGTAACCCTCACAACAATTCTATGAGAAAAGTGCTACTGTCATCCCCATTTTACAGGTGAGAGCTGCTCTATGGTCCTAAGGCCACACAGACCGCAGACTGGTCTATGGTTCCAGCCACCACCGTGTCTAGCCCCTTCACTGGCCTCCCTGCTCCTGCCTTAACTTCCTGTTAAAGTCACATTATGTCATAGTTGTGATCAAGGGCTCCCACCATCTTTCCATCTGTCTATAAGTAAAATCCAAGAAGTCCTCACAGTGCCTGCTAGGCCCTCCATGGCCTGGGCCTGCTGCGCTGGGCCCATCTCCTCCTCTCATCCTCACTCAGTCCCCTGCTTCTTGAAATTGCCTCAGGCCGTTTGTATCTATCTCCTTAGCTGTCACGCGTTCCCCTGCAGGCTGCCATGATACCCTTGACACCCTCAGGTCTCATCTTGTTCAACAGCCTGCCCCTGTGCCCTGGATCATCCACCTCTCCCCAGCACACCCTACCCCCCTGACTTCCTCCCCCATTCTTCTAGTATTTGTTACCTCCTGAGATAGGTATATTTACAGTTGACCCTTGAACAACACAGGTTTGAACTGTGTGGGTCCATGTATATGTGAATTTTCTTCTGCCTCTGCCACGCCTGAGACAGCAAGACCAACCCATCCTCTTCCTCCTCTTCCTGAACCTACTCAACATGAAGGTGATGAGGATAAAGACCTTCATGTTGATCCACTTTCACTTAATGACAAGTAAATATGTTTTCTTCTCCTTATGATTTTCTGAACATTTTCTTTTCTCTAGCTTACTTTATTGTAAGAATACAATATATAATATACATAACATGTAAAATATGTGTTAATAAACTGTGTTATCAGAAGGCTTCCAGTCAACAAGAGGCTATGAATAGTTAAGTTTTTAGAGAGCCAAAGGTTATATCCAAATTTTTGACGTGCAAGGGATGGGTACCCCTAAACCCATGTTGTTCAAGGGTTAACTGCATTTTTTTGTTTGTTTTCTATACCACCTAATAGAAAATAAATGCCATGAGTTTACTCCTATATCTCTAGAGTCTAATATATACTCAATAAATACTTGGTGAATGCTAAGTGCTCATTAAATACTTACTGAATGCTAAGTGAACTTGTCCAAGGTTACAGCTCTGACCCCAGAGTCTGTGCTCTTCACAGGGTAACTTCATGGACCCTGGAAGGTCACATTCCAAACTCAGCAGGTGTCAAAGTGTCAAAATAGTAGCCCTATTTTTCACATTCTTTACAGTACCTTCTTCCCCACTTGTGCAGCAGGACCAGAACTGCTCACACAGTTTAGGGACCTCTCTACCTCTCTAGAAAGAAAGCTCTGTCCAGGAATAGTTAGAAGTTTAGGAGTTTCCAGCCACTGCCCCTACACAGACCTGAGGAGAACTCAGAGAGAAAATCCACCCCATCTAGTCCATGCCACGAGTCCTGCTGCTCCATGCTGGGGGCCCCCTGCTCTAAAGGACAAGCATGCTAAGGTGAGAAAGAGACCCACATTCTCTCCGAAAGCTGGCTTGGGGTCATAACAGTACAGACCATCCCTGCCCCCACTTCCCAAAACCATTCAGATCTGCCTGGGCTGCTGAGTGGAAGGTCAAGATCAGCCTTCTGGCCTCCCCAACCCCAGGCCTACTCTAGGGCAGCCTAGGATGAAAGCCACGAACACCCCTGGACCAGGTCAGCAGCTGATGCCTCACAGCAACTATCACCCATGAGTCTAGAGGCAGGGCTGTGGGCAGAGCCCTTGGCTAACTGCTTTTGATGTCACCCAGCAGACTGTGGGATGGAGCATCCTGCTCTCCCCTTCACCCCAAGCAGGAGAAGGGAAAAGCAGCCTGCAGCTCTTCCTTTAGGGTCTCTAAGCCTTCCCTGCTGTGATCATGAAGGCATCTAGTTTGATCTATACCCATGAAAGATGCAATTGCAACCGCAAGAAAATAAGAGTCCTGTGAAAAAGCAGAGAGGCAGGGCATTTAAGCCCGTCTGGTACTTACTAACTCCGGTAAGTCACTTCCTATTTCTGGCCCTTGGTTTCCTCTGCTAAATGAGAGGGATGGACTAGTGTGGAGCTTCTCAAAATTGCATGTATATCTGAGTAACCCAGGGAATAGGTTAAAATCCAGATTCAAATTCAGCAGATCCAGGGAGGAACCCAAGATTCTGCATTTCTATCAAGCTCCCAGGTAATGCTGATATTGTTGATCCACAGTACACAGTTTTAGTAACAAGGACTTAATGGTTCTCAGCTCCAGCTGCACACTGAAATTATCTGAGCAGCCTTTAAAGCCTATAAGGCCCAAGTCTCCCCTCCCAGGAGATTCTGGGTCAATGGTCTAGGAAAGGGGAGGATGGATCAGCAAAGACCACAGCAGCAAAGATCACCACTTCCCTGCCCTACCCAAGCTGACACCTGCAAGTTTCCTTTTTCAAAGTTTCCAGTGCCTCTAAGGTACAGCCAAGGATGAGAAGAAGCACTGTTCCAGAAGACCAGAAATTCTCCAAGTATAATCTACCAACCACTTCATTCTGATTCATAATGGGAATTCCTCATTAAAAATTAGGGCTTAAGACCTAGTATTTGTGCTGGGCACGGTGGCTCACACCTGTAATCCCAGCACTTTGAGAGGCTGAGGAGGACAGATCACTTGAGCCCAGGAGTTTGAGACCAGCCTGGGCAACATGGCAAAACCGCATCTCTACTAAAAATACAAAAAATTAGCCAGGTGTAGTGACATGCACCTGTAATCCCAGCTACCTGGGAGGCCAAGGCAGGAAGATCACCTGAGCTGGGAGACAGAGGCTGCAGTAAGCTGTGATCACACCACTGCACTCCATCCTGGATTTCCATCAAGAAAAAAAAAAACCCCAGTATTTGATAGACAACAGGGTGACAATAGTCAATAATAATTTAATTGTACATTTTAAAATAACTAAAAGAGTATAATTGGATTGCTTGTAACACATAAACATCTGAAGTAATGGATACCCCCATTTGCCCTGATGTGACTATTACACACGCCATGCCTATACCCAAATATCTCATGTACCCCATGAATACATACACCTGCTATGTACCCACAAAATTATAAATGCATATTAAAGTTTAAACAATCATGATTAAAATTAATTTTAAAATTATGCTGATTCCAGAGCCCCACCCCTAGAGAGTCTAATGTAATTGCTTTGGGCTGTGACCTGAGCATCGGGATTTTTTTAAGCTCCCCAGAAACCTCTAACGTACAGCCAACGTTGAGAACAGCTGCTAATAAATGGAGATTCCTGAGCCACAATCCAATGACTGAACCAGCACCACTGGACAACACAAGTATCATCCAGTAAGACTCAGAAATTTCCATTTGTTTAACAAACTCTCTACATAATTCCTAGGCAACCGAAACTTGAGGGCTGCTGGACCAGAAAATCCCTGAGACCCCTTCAGCTCTAACTTTCTATGAGGAGACAGTAAGACAATGTTAACAACTTTTTAAATTCATCCTTTGGAAGTGGCTGAACAGTTTATGTGTCCTATGATATTATGGGTCATATGATCCTGGAAATAATACATTCCAATAAGAACCTCAGTTCCATCACAGCCCTGGGTTCCAAGTGTAGAAAAAGGCATCCTTACCCGGCTGTCCAGTTCTGGGGGGAACTTGGTCTGGAACTGACAAATGGTCCCATCGCTGTAGTCTCTCTGGATAAAGACCTTAGTGGCCAGTGAGGCACTTCGCCGGAGCTCCTGGAGATTGTGGACCTGAGGAGACATATGGGTAGCATGCACTGAGAGTGATCATCCATCTCAGCATCTCCCAAATGCAGGGGTTTCCCAGAATGTGGGTCTTCCAGCACTAACACCAGGAAAGTCCCCAGCATGCAGGGACAAACTGGGCACACTACAGGTGCTCCAGGAGGCCATGGGACACAGGGTTGTGGGGTCTACCCAAGAAGTTGCCCCGAGCTATCCCAGAAAGATCTTCTAACAGCCAGGCCAGTCATAGTGGCTCAGGCCTGTAATCTCAGCACTTTGGGAGGCTGAGGTTGGAGGATTTCTGGAGCCCAGGAGTTAAAGGCTTCAGTGAGCTGTGATTGCACCACTGCACTCCAACCTGGATGACAAAGCAAGACCCTGACTCTAAAAAATGTTTTAACAAGCGTAAAGCGGGGCCAAAGTTGAGCCAAAATGAGAAGTTCTGGAACCAACATATTTTAACAAAAGGAACAAGACCTCCTGGTGGCAGATCCAGTCACCCCCTCCCCCCTTCTCTCTCTCTCGCACACACATGCATGCACACATGCACACACACACAGAGCAGAACTTTTCATACTTTCACTCATTTGCCAAGTACCAAGTGTTCACAACGTGTGAGGCCCTGTGCCTGGGGAATGCAGCGCTGAACAAGACCGATGCCCCAGCTGTGCCGAGTGGGACTCACCACAGAGTTAAGGGCAGGGAGCATGTGAGACAGTGGAATACTGATGCACCCTTAAACTCAGAGACTGGCCTCCAGGCCAAGTTTTATGACCCCAGCCAGAGACTATCCCGGATGCTTTTCACATCCAGCACTTCTCCCCACAGGAAACAAAGGGTCCATGAATGTCCAAACTTCCCCAGAGAATAGTGGGGACAGAGGCCAGAAATGAAAGAAATAGCCTTCCCTGACAGGAAGGAGAGGGGCAGTTTCTGTCCCTTGTGCACACCTGTGGACTTGACATTGACACAGACTCTAGCATTTGAGGGGAGTGGGCTCAATTCCACAGAACAATAATAATTTAATTGTACATTTTAAAATAACTATACCACTTTTTCCTCCTCTCCAGCCTCAGTCACCCACATTCAAGACAAGCATCCCACTGGTTGAAATATGCCCAACATTGAGACCACGTGGGGACCAAGCCCCAAAGGCAGAGTGAACAACAGCCAGTTCGTCCCATGTAATTAAGCTGGATCCATTCAGTAACTCGGCTCTCATTTATTGAGTCTCTCCCAGTGCCAAGCTCTGGGAGAGCTGAGCAAAAGAGTCTGTGAGCTCCAGGGAGGAAGACAAGTTAATATATAATGAATTAGACAGTGACAAATGCCACAGAGAAGTAACATCTTACCCAGAAATCCTCACTCAGAAAAGGCCTCCTGAAGCCTGTGTTGAGTCATAAAGGAAGGCCAGGGGTTACCAGTGGTAGCGGACAGGCGGGGAGTGTGGAGAGGGAGGAAAAGGCATCCCAGCCAAAAAGAGAAGCTTGTGCAAAGTGACGAAGATAGAGCACATGGTCTACTACAGGCGGATTTCAGCAGGACTGGAGGTGGTTTGCAGATTAGATAAGAAACAGTGGGAGATGTGACTGTAGGGAGGCAAGGGTCAGATCACAAGGGGCAAGAGGGGTTCCTGCTGAAAGGGAGGATTTAAGATGAAAGATTCTTAAACTTGCTTAAACACTGGGGAAAGACTTTGTTGAAGATAGGTTGGTTGTAAGTATGCTGCTTTATTTCTGCGTTCTCTCTTCTGTTCCATTGGTCTATGCATCTATTTTTGTACCAGTACCCAGTACAAAACCCGCTGTTTTAGTTACTACCGTCTTGTAGTATTACTTGATGTCAGGCAATGTGATGTCTCTGGATTTGTTCTTTGCATAGGATTGCATTAGCTATTCAGATTCTCTTTTGGTTCCATATGAACTTTAGCATTGTTTTTTCTAATTCTGTGAAAAATGATGTTGTTAATTTGATAGGAATTGTGTTAAATCTGTAAATTGCTGCAGGCCGCTCGGTCATTTCAATGATGTTGATTCTTGCAATCCTTGAGCATGAGATGTTTTTCCATTTGTTTGTGTTGTCTACAGTTTCTTTCATCAGTGTTTTGTAGTTCTCCTCACAGAGATCTTTCATTTCCTTGGTTGAGAGAGAGAGAGAGAGAGAGAGAGAAAGAGAGAGAGAGAGAGAGAGAGAGTCTGGCTGGCTGGCTGGCTGGCTATTGCAAATGGGGTGGGAAAAGGACTCCCTATTCAATGAATAGTGCTGGGAAAACTGGCTGACCATGTGCAGAAGAATGAAACGGGGCCCCTATTTCTCACCATATACAAAAATTAATTCAAGATGGATTAAAGACTAAAGTTTAAGACCTGAAACTGTAAAAATTCTAGATGAAGGCGTAGGAAAAACTCTTTTGGATATCAGCCTAGGCAAATAATTTATGATGAAGTCCCCAAAAGCAAATGGAACAAAACCAAAAATAGACAATTGGGACTTAATTAACCTAAAAAACTTCTGCACAGCAAAACAAATAACAAAGTACACAGACAATTACAGAAAGGGAGAAAATATTTGCAAATTATGCCTTTGAAAAAGGACTAATATCCAGAATCTACAAGAAACTCAAACATCTCAACAAGAAAAAAAGAAAAACAACCCCATTAAAAACTGGGCAAAGGACATGAACAGACATTTCTGAAAAGAAGAAATACATGCTGCCAATAAACACATGAAAGTGCCAATAAGCACCAAGCATCAGAGAAAGGCAAATTAAAACCACATTGAAATATCATCCTACGCCAATCAGAATGGCTATAATTTAAAAGAAACAGATGCTGGCATAGATGCAGAGAACAGGGAACACTTATAAACTATTGGTGGAAATATAAATTAATTCAACCTCTATGGAAAACAGTATGGAGATTTCTTAAATAACTAAAAAGAGAACCACCATTTAACCCAGCAATCTCACTACAGGGTATCCACCCAAAGGAAAATAAATCATTATGTTAAAAAGACACCTGTACTCATATGTTCATCACAGCACTATTCAAAATAGCAAAGTCATAGAATCAACTTCAGAATGTCCATCAACAGTTGACTGGATAAAGAAAATGTGGTATACATACACCAGAGAATACTACACAGCCATACAAAATAATAAAGTCATATCTTTTGCAGCACCATGAATGGAGCTGGAGGCCATTATCCTTAGTGAACTAACTTAGAAACAAAATCAAATATCACAAAACACACTTTCTCACTTATAAGCCTAAGCTAAACAATGGGTACACATGGATATAAAGATGAAAATAATAGACACGGGGGATTCCAAAAGAGGGGAGAGGGTGAGGGTTAAAAAAATTAGCCATCAGGAACAATGTTCACTACTTGGGTGATGGGTACACTAGAAGCCCAATCCCCACAAAAACACAATGTACCCACGTAACGAACATGCACATGTACTCCCTGAATCCGAAATAAAATAAAATTTAAAACAAACAAAAATCTGGGGAAATAATAAATAACCAGAGAAGGGTTATCAATAAAGTAGAAGGAGCAGATAACTGGTAGATCAAGGTCCTGAAAAGGTGGGAATCCAAAAACACCGTATTTGACTTTCTTAAATCCAGGTGAACCTTGCTCTATGTAAAAAAAAATATGATCCCAAAGTATTATGACTGGATTAAATAATGTATAAGCGGTCCTCTGGGCTTATATTCGTTGATTCCTCTAGTCAAGGTTTTCGTTGAGGAAATCCCCTTGATATCCACTAGGAACCTATGATAACTTGGAGAAATAAAAAATGCTTTGGCAATATACGTAAGTTAATGGTTAATGTGCCTGCTTTAGTTAAGGTTTTATAACATTGTATTTTCAAGAGTAAAGAACAGGGCTATGGCCTTCCTCTGCCCCTCTAAAACCAGCTTACAAAAGTCCGTCATTCTTGAGGATGGACTCCCCTGCCCCTAGAAGGCTCATTCTAGCAGTTTTGTGGGAAGTAGACAAGACTGGGGTGAGGGGCCAGTTGGAGGGATGATTCTCTTTCTAGTAGTCCATGGTAAAAACTAAAGAGGTGGTGAGAAAAGCAGTGGTGAGAACAGAAAGAAAGGGAAGAAACCATTCTGACGTGGACTCAGCTTCCTCTCCTCTGATATCTTTTGTATGTGCCTGAATGCACACATGCATGCATGTATACATATGTGCTGTCCTGAAGGCATGGATCTCTAGCAACTGGCTAGCTGTTGACCTGAGCCATTTCTTCTTCCTCCTAGGCACACAGCTATATTAATTCCCAGCCTCCCTTGCAGTTATGTGCATCCCTACGACTGAGTAGAATGTGAGCAGAAGTGACATCATATGTAGGCTTGACTCATGAAGATATACCACTCCTCCCTGCTCTTTCCCCTTTCATGGAAGCCAGTGGAGCCCTGTTTTGAAGATTATGAACACCACAAGTTGGGAAGAGCCTGGGTCTCTGAATCACTGCCTGGAAGAGATTCATCTATTGGTCAGGAACACTTACCTGGAACTTCACTGAGCAGGATATTTCTATTGTTTTAAGCTATTAACACATTAAGGTTGACATTTTGGGCTGGATAAAAAAGATTTTTTAATATTTAAAAAAAATACATTAAGATTTGGGGGTGCTACCTTACATGACAAAGTCCCATTTCCTCTTGGCTTTGATCCACACATTCTCAAGTAACCAGAGTGGGATAGGTCAACACCCTTTTCAGCACCAACAATATCCTGAGCCTTAGACTACTATCCAGGCTCTGGGTGACCAGAGTTCTGCTTCTCTCCCCGGAGAGTGTTTGTGGAGGAACAACTCTTGAGGAATTGCTAAAGGATGATATCAGACACATTTTATGTGGCCTTAGTCTCCCAGACCTACATAGAGTACATATATTAGACTCATTTACAGTTCGTGAAGAGCAGGATTTAAGGCAAGGCAAGGTCTCCTGTTTCTTTCCATCCATGGTGGCTCGAGTGTGAAGTGCCAGGAACCCTGGTGGAAAGATGGCCTACTGACCTGGGAGCAGACCTGACCCTGGGCCACATGGTCCTGGGAAAGTCTTCCCTTCTCTGGACTTCCATTTCTTCAGCTGGAAACTAAGAAATTGGAATGACATCCTTGCTCAAGCCCCTTTCAGCTCTGATATTCTAAAGGCTTTATCAGGGATTATGAATGCAAATGTTTACAAGGGCTGATCAATAAGTGGGCCAGGTGGGGCCTGACACTAATTAGAAAACAGGTGCCCCATCTCAAGGAGGCAGATGACCATTGCCATGTGGGAATGTATAACCAGGTTGCTAGCACTTCTGGTGTCTCAAAAGAAGCCACAAATCTAGATATTTTTAACAATATAATATCCTGATTTTTGAATGTTTCCAATATATTTTTTTAAATTATAAGCACTAAACAGACTAAATAAGGCATATCCATGGACCAGACTTATTTCTAGAGCTGCTAGTTTAGGACCTCTGAATAAAGAATCCCATGACTTGGCCCTTGGGTAAGAACTAAGCCAGCTTCCAGGCCACGGACCAACTACTAAGCTTTCAGCAAGCTGGTGGGGTTTTCAGCAGAGACCCATGATGCTCTGAAATCCTACCAGATGATCTCAAAATATATGCACACCTCTCTTTGAGGCTGCAATTTCTGTGTCTCCCTTGGGCATCTCCCAGGGGGTTCTTAAACGACCCAGAGACCTGAGCTTCTCTCCACTTCTCACCTTCCTCAACCCTGCCCCTCTCTCCCATTGCCACCTGCCCTGGCCCACTGGCAGCAGAGTAAAAACAGATCTGAGAGGGATTTCATGAGGAGGAAAATCAGTGGTGAGACCCATGGGACCAGTTTTCAAACTGTAGTGTGAGAAGGATGGGGAGGCTGCCTGAAGAGTGGGTACCACAGGTCACACATTTAGCTCCTATTCACCTGACAGTCAACCAGCTGGGGTGCAGAGGAATAAGCTCTGGAGTGCAAATGAGCTCCTGGTCCAGTCTACCCAAGTCCAACAGGAGTGCCCCCCTGGCCCCATCTTTATCCTCATTAAAAACTATCTCACTCCATAGGATGCATGTGAAGCATCAGGAGGTTCTGCTGACACCAGCACTCTGCTTCCTGGCTGGAGTGTGGAGGAGGAGTGAGGATTGTGAGTAACAGACAGCCAGGTCAGGCCTAAGGATGAAACACCAGCCACAAGGCTTCCCTTCTTCTCAGCCTGTACCAGTGCTCAAGCCTGACCCAGTGTCTGCTGGTCATTAATTCCATGCCTCAAAGATCAAACCTCCAAACACCTTGCTTGAATAACATTGCTTGGATGCATTTAAAAATCTCTTAGAGGCCAAACTCCAACACTTGGAGAAGCCCCTCCCAGCCAGGCACTTCCCAGTTGTCCTTGGCCATCTGGACTATTTCCCAGGGCAGACCCTGCTCCCAGTGACACACATTCACAGAATTTGCTGCTCAGAAAATGGGCTCATTGCAGCTTTCCAAATGAGGTCAGTGTATCGCTCAGGAGTTCCTCACAGACACCTCTCCCCTAATGCTAAGTCCTAAACAAAAATCAGAAAACAGAAAAGACCCAGTTTCCACCCATGGATCTCTTCCTTCTCCCTCACCCCTCCTGTCTGCTCCTCTCCCCACCCCCTTCCCCTCCCTCTCCTTTCTCTCAATACAGCTTCTCCTAGAGCTGAAGACTTCCTACTGAGAATCCTAAGGAAATAATCATGGGAATTTAAAGCGACGTTTTTTCTCTCCCAACAGGTTTATCCTGGTAATTTCAACTCAATCCTAATAGTAAAAACAGCCTGCGGAGAATGACTCACTCCACAGCCCAGAATACATGCATGTCCTGTGCCCTGGTAGAGCTAAAGCTTCCTTCCTCAGTTCTGCCATCAGAGTCCACCCAAGGCCAAATTGTGAAGTGAGGAATGCTTGTCCTCAGCTCCCAATCACTTCTAGATATTCCTCTCTCCCTCTGCCCTCAAACCAACACAGCCAGGGCAAGCAGGGGGCCTGAATGCCCACACCCCAGCCCTTCATGATTTCCTTTGCAACCCTCTTTCCCTCAAAGCTTTATGTCAAGACCCCGAGGGCCCTCCTTTCTATTAGGTGACACAATTGGTGGTACACTCACTCTGGATGCAGGAAAGAAGCCCTGGCCAAAGAGGCAGGAGGCTCAAGTTCTTATCCCAGCCCTGCCACCTTTTAGCCATATTTCCCTGAATAAGTCTCAGCACTTCAGTTGCATCATCTGTAAAATGGGATAATGATGCCTTCTTTGGCTCCTTCACAGGGATCAGGCAAGCTTCTGAACCTTAGTTGTCTCATCTGTTAATTGGGCATAATAACACCATTCTTACCCACTTCACAGATATGCTCTGAGGCTTAAAAGAGATCATTTATGTGATAGTGCTTTGTACACAGTAAAGTGCAATATTCTCAGAGGCGTTATGAGCAGAGCCCCTCCCAGGAGAGAGTCATGCATGTGTCATAGCAGCCTCCTGGAAATGCCACCTCGACCTAGAGATGTGAGCCTGCTGGTTGGAATCTGTGGGCCATGGCAGACCTGTGAGGCAGATAGATATCCTGGGACAGATGGGCCTGTTGGGATCTGTCAGATCACATCACAGAGGCAGCTGCCTTCTCTGCCCACACTGCTGGCCAGGCTATGCCCATGTAGCTGAAGTTCCCCTTTTCTGTCCAACACAGTAGCCTCTGCTGCAGTTTGGCAGTCCTGTCTGTAAGGTAACCAGCTCCTTGATTTCTCCCTTTGTTCTTCCTGCTCTACTCAGTGTCTTTGGTGCTTTGTGAGTACTCTGCAGTCCTCTACTCTAGAAACCAAGCTCCCAGGGTCTCCCCAGGGCTTGCCCCCACACTAGGCCCTGGGGGGCAAGCTCTCCTTATAGCTAACCTCCAGCATTGTCAGAATGCCAAGAAATGCCAACCCATGGCACCTTATTCTGTGGTGAAGACTTGAGAGGAATAACAACAGCTATACTTGGTATTAATGTCACACTGCTCACCAGGATGCCCAGAAGCACTGCACTGAATCATTCAAAAGCCTCTGCATTGCCCCAGCATATGCCAGCTGGATTGGAAATGGGGAGACACCGCAAAGGAAGTCAACATCAAAACTGGGGAGACCCTGGTGTCCTGAGTTTCACTCCAAAAATTCCAAGGCAAAAACTTTCAGTTCTGCTGCTGATATCCTGTGTGGAGTAGCAAATACGTCCTCTCATTTTCCCTATATCACCTTTATTATGTATAAAGTGGGAACATAAACAGCCCAATCTCCCTCCTGAAATGAGGGGGGAGAAAAGCAATACATAGGGGTAAAGGGGGAAATTCCTGACCTCAAGCATTACACCAAGATTCTGCCCTTAGCTAATAGGCTCCTTGGTTCAGCCTTCAAGTGATTGAAGGTGACACACCTATCAGTGTACCTTGAAGAAGGCAGCACCTCCCATCAGATGGAGGGGAAATTTGGACACCCTGGAACACACACACACAAATTCAAATGGAATAAAAAAGCAAGAAGGGTGATATGCAAAAGTGGGGACCAACCTTTTGGGTTCTCAGCCTGCAGTGTCTTTGTCCCCTCCCTCCCACGAAGGAAATGCGGATTTAGAGGTACGTCTGTCATCCCTTAGCCAAGCATTTGGGTTCAGAAGCTGGGTGACTGCACTGCATAGCAACAGCGGACAACTGCCTTCCCTCCCCTCACACACGCGCACACACGCGTCTCCAACCCTCTAGGAAAGCGGTTTCAGGACTTGTGAAGTCCAGGGAAGGGGAAACCCCGGCCTGGGGCCCTGAAACAACCCTGGCACTAGTGCCAACAAGTGTTGCGGGCAGCTTGGGGGCTCCGATGGGGCAAGGGGAAGATTGACACGCCAGGGGAAGATGAGCCCTAACTAAGCCCCCTACCTCCTCCCTCCAGACCTGACCCAGGGAATCACCCCATCCCACCCCCAACCCCCGCCTCCCCCTCCTGCCCAGCCCGCCCCTAGGGGATTTGTTTCCGCGGCAATCCGGCACCGTCTGCGGGCCGGGTGTTCGCCCTACCTCGGTGGCCATGATCCGGGGTCGCTCGGAGGCTGCCGCGGGCCCGGGCGAGGGGGACTGTCCGCGGTGCTGACCCTGGGAGCAGGTGGGCGGCGGCGGCGAGCTGGGGCCCGGGGCGCTGTCCGCGGTGCTGATACGGGCGCCTCGGGTCCCGACGCAGGTGGGCCAGGGGCTGGCGGGCGGCGGGGTCCGAGCGAGGGGCTGCGCTGACCGCGGTGCTGAGGCAGGCGACCAGCCCGGGAGGCGAGGCCGCGCCCGAGGCTCCTCACGGCCCGATCGCCCGCTGCCGCGGCTCCTGCAGGCAACGGCCGGGTTTAGCTTTGGTGGCGGCGGCGGCGGTGGGGGCGGCGGGGGGAGGAGGGGCCAGGCGCCACCGCGGGCCGGGAGGGGGAAGCCGCGGCCCCCAGACTCCGGCGCCGCCGGAGAGGAGCCCCGCCCGGGCCACAGGCTCGGCTCCCGCCCCGCGCGAGGCTCCTCCTCCCCTTCCTGCCCTCCCCCACGTGAGAGCCCCGGAGCTCTGCGATCGCCGCCGTGGCCCCCGGGACATCCAGACTGTAGGAGAGTGGGGCAGGGATTTTCTGGGGCAAGACCAGGCTGACCGCTCCCGAGCTGCTCGCAGGCCCCCAGGTGCGGCCTCTCTACCTTTCCAGCCACCCACAACGCCCCGGCTCTACCCCTCCTCACCCCCACGCCCCGCCCCCGGCGTCCTCTTCAGAATATTTTCTCTTCTTTCTCTCCCTTTTCCTCTCTGTGTGCTCCCTCCGTATACACACGGCCAGGCTTTCACGGACGGCCCCTCCTTTCCCCTCTCTTTTGCACTTTCTGAAACCCCATTAGCCAGACAGGTCCTGCCGACCGCAGAGAATCATTTCCTTTCTTTAAATACGTGCCCACATTTCATTCACAGCCATAGCCCAGTGAGCTCCAGAATTGAAGCCCTCTCTCCTTGCTGCTCTTCCTGGACCTGGACCCCACCCTTTACTCTTCCCTCTGTCCTCTGCAACCCGAGTTTACACACATGCACCACCACTACCACCACCACTCAAAAACCACAAACAGATGGTGCCAAACCGGTATGCTCACTCTCTAAGGATGGCGGGTCTGGCTCTGGTGCCACCTTCACATTTTTGACATCATAACTTCCAATTAAATTATCTATTTGTTTAATAAAAAGGAGACCAGGCACAGTGGCTCACACCTGTAATTCCAACACTTTGGGAGGCTAAGGTAAAAGGATTGTTTGAGCCCAGGAGTTTAAAACCAGCCTGGGCAAGAAACCGTCTGTAAAAAAACTAAAATAGTAGCCGAGCGTTGTGGTGTGTGCTTGTGGTCCCTGCTACTCAGAAGGCTAAGGCAGGAGGATCACTTGAACCCAAGAATTCAAGGCTGTAGCTAGCCATGATTGTGCATTGCACTCCAGCCTGGGCAACAGAGCAAGATCCTGTCTCTTAAAAAATTAAAAATAAGGCCAGGTGCAGTGGCTCATGCCTGTAATCTCAGAACTTTGGGAGGCTGAGGCAGGTGGATCCCCTGAGATCAGGAATTCAAGACCAGCCTGGCCAACATGATGAAACCCTGTATCTACCACAAATACAAAAAGTTAGCCAGGCATTTTCTGGCACACACCTGTAGTCCCAGCTACTCAGGTGGCTAAAACGGAAGAATTGCTTGAACTGGGAAGTAGTGGTTACAGTGAGCCGAGATTGCATCGCTGCACTCCAGCCTGGGTGACAAGAACAAAACTCTGGTTCAAAAAAAAAACAACTAAATTAAATTAAATATAAAAAAGGAAACACCAACACAAGTGTTTTTTTATATACCCATAATAACCCTTGGTCTCTTTGAGGGGTGGTGGGGTGTGTGCCTCTGCAGCTCATTGCTTGCTGCCTGAGAGTCTGAAGCCCACACACAGGGAGAACCTGGGAGCCAGGAGACCTGGGTTCTCACCCAGGCTTCTCCAGCTATGTAACCTTGAGCAACTGTCTTGTTTTCTGAGCCCATGGTTCTCTTTCTGCAAAATAAGAGTGTTGGATTTCACTAGACTATTTCCAGGGCCTTTTGTTTTTCCTCCAACCTTTTATTTAGAAATTTTAAAACATACAGAAAAATTGAAAGAATAGTACAATAAACTATGCCATCCACCTGGCTCCAACAATTCCTAACATTTTGCCATATTTGCTTTATTGATAGATATAAAAACAGATATATATTTGGCTAGATTATTAGAAGATGACAGACATCATGAGACTTTATTCATACTTCAATTCACTATGCATCTCCCAAGAAGAAGAGCGTTGTCCCAACAATACCATTCCCATTCTTTTTTATTATTTTATTTTATTGAGACAGGGTCTTGCTCTATCACCCAGGCTGGAGTGCAGTGGCACTATCTTGGCTCACTGCAACCTCTGCCTCCTGGGTTTAAGCAATTCTCAGCCTCCCAAGTAGCTGGGGACTACAGGCATGCACCACCATGCCCAGCTAATTTTTATATTTTTAGTAGAGATGGGGTTTTGCCATGTTGGCCAGGCTGCTCTCAAACTCCTGTGCCCAGGTGATCCACCTGCCTTGGCCTCCCAAAATACCAGGATTACAGGTGTGAGCCACGGCGCCCAGCCAATTCTCATGCTTTTAAAATACCCATATCATCTAATATGCTAGAATAGGTTGTTACCCCTAAAACACATTCATAGCAATGACCCCTCAAAAATTCCCCCAGAACTTTTCATTTTTAATAGCTAACATTTAGTGAGCACTTACCATGTGCCAGAACACATGCTACTCACTTTATATGTATGATCTTATGTAATCCCCACAATTACTCTTTGAGTTGTGTTCTAGTGATCTTTTTATTATTCCCACTTTATAAATGAGGGAACTGAGAAAGTTTCCCAAGGTCACATAGCTTGTGGGGGATAGAGACAGGATTCAGACACAGGCAGTCAAGCTCCAGAGCCTGTGTGGTTCATCTTCCTAACTGTCCTGCCTCCCTCCAGCATCTGGGAGACCACAGACTAGCAGAGCGATAATCACTTCTCCAACTGCCTATTTTGCAGATGAAAACACTGAGTCCCCGAAGATAAGGGACATGTTAAAGAAGTTAGAGGCCGGTGTCTCATTCTACCTTATAGTTCAGCACAGGATTTGGCATTAAGGAGCAAACAGAATATCTGTGAACACTGTAGTGGTCACTGGTAATAAATGAACATATAATCTGATGATCTCCATGTAAATTTTACAGTCCTTCCCACTTGATTTTGACCACATCAACTAGACAACTATCTGGACACCACTCTCTTCTCCTTATGACTCAAGATCTGGATGAAGCCATTCAACAAATCTATTCATTCAACATCTATTTGTTGAACACCTACTGTGTATCGGGCACTATTCTAGGAACTTGGGATACAGTCATGACTAGAAATACAAACCTTCTGTCCTTATTGAACTTATATAGTAATAAGGGTAACAATCCATGACATAATCAAAGATGTATAAAATATGTCAAGTTGTGATCACCGCTAGGAAGAAAACATGGCAAGGAGATAGTGATAGACAGGGCTTATTTTAGAAAGAATAATCAGGGAATACTTTTTTTGATAAGGTGAAATTTGAGTAGAGTCCTAAAGGAAGAGAGAGAACTAGACATATAGATACCTAGAGGAAGGGTGACAAGACAGAGAAGACAGAGTCCAAGGTCCCTGACACAGGACTGGCTTGGTATGTTCAAAGAATAGCAGAAGGCTGGGTGCGGTGGCTCACACCTATAGTCCAAGCACTTTAAGAGGCCAAGGTAGTAGGACCACTTGAGGACAGGAGTTCAAGACCAGACTGGCCAACATGGCGAAAGCGCATCTCTACTAAAAATACAAAAATTAGCCAGGTATGATGGTGGGGACCTATAATCCCAGCTACTCAGGAGGCTGAGGCTAGAGAATCACTTGAACCTGGTAGGCGGAGGTTTCAGTGAGCTGAGATTTCACCACTGCACTCCATCCTGGGTGACACAGTAAGACTCCATCCCCTGCCAAAAAAAAATAGTTGGGAGACCAGTGCAGCTAGACCTGAAGTAAGCAAGGGGAAGAGAGTTGGTAGTTGAGCTCAGAGAGGTAGCAGGAATCAGATCTTCCAGGGTCTTGTACGCCCTGATAAAGACTTTAGATTCTTCTCATAAAGTGAAATGGCAAGCCTAAGAAGGTTTAGCATAGGGGCGTGACACCATCTAATTGCAGTTTTTAAAAGATTCCTCTGGATGTCAGAGGGGAGGCAAGGATAGAAGCTGTGAGACCAATTAGGAGGATGTTAGAGCAGCCCAGGCTTAGAAAATATCGTGGTGGCTCAGAATCTGGTAGTAGCAGTGGAGTGGGGAAGAAGTGGCCAGATTCTAGATATAATTTGAAAGTAATGCTCAAAGGGTCTTCTGATGGATTGGATGTGTGATATAACCAAGACAGCCAGGCCAGGCATGGTGGCTCACACTTGTAATCCCAGCACTTTGGGAGGCCAAGGTGGGTGTATCACTTGAGATCAGGAGTTCAAGACCAGCCTGACCAACATGGCAAAACCCTGACTCTACTAAAAATACAAAAATTAGCCAGGTACAGTGGCACACACCTATAGTCCCAGATACTTGGAGGCTGAAGCAGGAGAATAACTTGAACCCAGAAGGCAGAGGTTGCAGTGAGCTGAGATGGTAACACTGCACTCCAGCCTGGACAGAGTAAGAACTGTCTAAAAATAAATAAATAAATAAATAAATAAAATTAAAAAGAGGTAGTCAAAGATGATTCCAAGTCTTGAGATCTGAGCCATCAGAAGAAAGTGAGAGGGGAAGACTAGGGAATAAGTAGGCCTGAAGGGGGATGCAGCATTTTGGTTATTTTGTTGACTTAGGTTTGAAGTTTGATGTTATAAGTAAATTATAAGCGGGGAGGAGGAGGTGGAGATATAACTCTAGGAGCCTACAGTGTGTGAATAGCATTTAAAACCAAGGGACTAGAGACATCATCGAAGGAGAAGGCATAGCTAGAAAAAAAAGCTGTTCAAGAACCGATTCGGGACACTTGGTCACTGACAGGCTGGAAGACAAAAAGCTGAAAAGAGTGGCCAGGGAAGTAAGAGGGGACCCAAGAGAGGGTGGTGTCCTGAAGCCAAGCAAAGAAGGTTGGAAAGAGAGCCTTGCCTCATGTTGAATGCTGCTCACAGGTGGAATAAGATGCGGACTGAGAAATGACCACTGGACTTGGCAGCAAGAAGGTCGCCAGTGACCTTGGCAAGAGGGACGAGATCCTGATTAAAGTGGGTTTGAGAGTTAGCATGAAGGAGAGGAAGAAGAGATACCGATAGTGTAGATAACTCTTTTTGCTGTAAAGGAAAGCAAAGACTAGCGTGGTGGTCTGAGGGAGAAGTGGAAGCAAGAGAGGTTCCTTACAAGAGGGAAGACATTAGGGCATGTTTGTCTGCTAACAGGAATCGTCTAGTAGAGAGGGAAACACTGATGGTTCAGAAAAGAGAGGGTTATTTGCAGGAGCAAGCCCTTAACAGGCCAGCAGAGAATGGGACTCAGGGCAAACAGAAAGGGGATGGTTTGGGAGAGAAGCACAGACAACTTTTCACGGAGGTTAAAGAAGCACAGTAAACAGCCACAGATGGCAGCTGGTTAGGAGGTTTTGCATGTAAAGAAAAACCTGAAACCTGAGCTCCACTGGT